ATGTGTAGATAAAATGTCCATTGTCAAGAACGTACCGGTTATAGCCTCCAAAGTAATTGCTAGTCCCTTTTTATTTAACGTAAATACGAAGAGCCGTGATGAAATAAAAAGCATATATACATAAAACACGCGATTAGTTAACAGATATTTTAAAACAAGCGGGCTAAACAAGGAATAACTTGACTTTTATACAGACGTATGTTAAGCGTGGAAGGGTATCATATGTGGAAATATAGGTATGCAAAGTCTATTCTAAGAACTATATCCTGTAATCAGCCTGAGTCCATCAATTCGAATATAGGTTACTTTCCGTTAGCGTTTTCCTCATCTAATCACACTAATAGATGTTTCAAATTTTACTACCTTAAGCGTACTCTTGCGTAGTCGAGTCCGTTCAACGGAGTCATTGGTCTGACTTATAAGTTACGGAAAGGCTTAACCTAAGTCATAGACCTTCAAGTTTTGCTGAACGAGGTGAGATACAATAGTAACTACTCGATGTAAATCAGGAAGCAGCTCGAAATTTTTTAGGTTACGTGGAATTTATTTAGACCTTATTATTATTTATTACACTTATATATAGCGGGAAGTGTGTACGCCAAGTAACTTCTTGTTGAGTGAGCTTTCTTTGTATATTGTTCTTAGTATCGCGTCTGCCATTATTGTTATTATCAGCTGCAGTTCTATCTGAGCGACAGCTTGTTGTTTGTTTGTTGTTGTCGTTGTTGTTTGTTTGTTGTCGTTGTTGTTTGTTGCTGTTGTTATTGTTGTTGTAGTTGTTGATGTTATAGCATCCTTCTAACTTTCTATCTCAGGATTGTTGTGAGATTCCTTTTGCCTTGGCCGCTTATAGCTTTATCATGATTATTTGCTGAGTCACATGAGTACTCCATTTTGGACTGATTCTTCTTTTTTTCTCTCCTGTAATGTTATGGCAATTATCAATGAACCGTAATAGTCATTATAGGTATTAATATTATTGTTTTTCTTATGGTAATTGATGTTGTCGTTTTTACTGCTTTTGCTGTTACCGTCATCGTCGTAATACCACAAATATTACATCTGGGTACCACTCTCTCTTCCTATGTTCTCCTATTATTACCTCATTATTATTTTTTATGTTATCATTATTATTACCCGTCATTGTTTTTATCTTTATTCATTCGATTATTTATGTTTGTTTGTCTCGCTTAATCCGCTCCCGTAGTTTTCGCCGTTGTTCCTCCGTTGTTATGAAATTCTATAGTTGTCTCTTAAAGCTCCGGTTCGTATATCCTGTTTCTTCACCCCCCTCCTCTGTACGCTGGATAATCGGTCACATTTCTCTACTACAGCATACGGACCGTGGCAAGGGTCGAGAGTGTCAGCTATTGGTAACTTCGATCACCGCAGTCCACATATGCTGTAAAATCTGCGGGTTGATCAGTTACCACGCTATGGACAGCGCCGCGAGCAGAATTTGCAGTGGTTGGCAACGCGACTCTATTTTGCTATGGCAGTCGCCAATATTGACCACTCTTACAGCGCTCTGAACACTTTTTGGGATCCTACCTAGCGTCGAGCAACGTGGACTACCTAGTTCTTGTTGTAATGTTTTCTCTCGCTTTGTATTGTTGAGTATACTGACGACTTAGAGAGAAAGTAATGCTCCCTGGTGTAATTTATTATTTCTTCCTCAAACGCTTTCTTTTCTCTGCGAGAGAGTTTTCATGTTATTATTTCATCGCTTGCTCTGTCTATTATTATTATTATTATTAATATTCTGTGTATATTTACTGACTCGTCTTCTTTTTTGTCATTTTCTGTACCTCCATTCGGCTTCTGTTTTTTTTTTTTTACCTAACGTTGAGAGTGCCGCCAAGCCCCTCGGATCTTTTTCTTTGATCTACTTGTATTTATCTTTTTACCTATCTATCTATCTACCTAGAAATATAACCTAACGCGGCACCGAAGAGTTTCGCAGTGGACACGTCACCATTTTATCAACGAGTCCTTTTTCTTTCTCGTTTTTAATTCTACCTATTTTTTTGATAGCGTCGAGATCCGAACGTTAAGAGCCTGTTTCGGCCAACGCTACATCAATTGTCGTTTGTAGTTCTCGTTGATCAGTAGTCGTCGTCCATCCGGCTGGCGGATGTTCTCTACATGCCACTCTGTTTCTTTCTTCGCACTCATCTTCACTATTTTTTTTTTGTATATCGTTCACTCACTCTTCGTTTCTGTCTTTTTGTTTGACAAATTCGATTGCTGACTTTTTGTAAAAACTCACACACATTGTTTGCACAGCGACGGCGAGCGGCTAATCTTCACGGTCATGGTTTCATAGAATCTAATTAGGGCTCTCGGCCATGTAACAGAGATGGCTCGCTGTAAAGGCTAGATTAAAGAGTGTAGCCTACGCGTCAGATTGATTTCATGGAAGGAAATAGGCCCGCACGTTTGGAAACAAGAAAAGAAATTTGTCGTCAGTTAGATTTTCGAAGGTTCCCTTTGTTGAAACGCGTTACGTAGTACTTCAGCAACCGCGTAGATGCCTGCTTCAGAAACCACCACGTCGCTCGACATCGCTGACTATTGTAACAGTATTACCATTATACTAATCATGTTCTAATAACAGCCACGTTGTCCGCATTACTCGTTTCTCTAATCTCTCTCCATTCACATTCGGATTTGACCTTCATCTATGTTCTGTTCTTATATATATATATATATATATATATATATATATATATATATATATATATATACTCCCTTTTTCCACTTGTCATTTTCTAACTTTTAGTCAGTCAATCCACACACTGGTCCAACTCAGTCAAACTCTCAGATTCATTCACTCAGATCTCAGTCACGCTCTCTCGACATTCCGTCCCTCAATCTGTTTTTACTTCCTCATTCTCGCTTCGTCTTCGCCTGTGCGTTGTTGTCTGTCGCTCGTTCACACATTTGGTACAAAAAGCCTACATCTTTGTTTATACACGAGTCTCCGACGTCCGTGACCACTGGCTGCGCTGGCCAATAGGTCAGGCTGTCATTTATAACCTTGATCGGCCATTTCGAGGTATATGTTTGATTTTTATTTAGTTTTGACTTGTTCAGTAGTTGTGGGATAGTTTCCCAGTCGCTCCTTGACTCAACCCTACCTAGGATGCCTATGGTTAGCTTGCCTTTAAGCCATACCACTCGTTTGATCCCGTTCTCCAAACATCCCCGAGTTCCCTGTTGTACCGATACGGCTCAGCAGTTTATTTGTTGTTTGTTATCTCCAATGAGTGTGTTTCTGTCACAGCTGTTCTTTCGGTTTATATACGGTTTATCAATCAAGATAAGACAACTGACGATGGGGTAAGGCAAACTGTCGTATAACTTTAGGTTTGCTGCAATAATTCGCTCGTGTGTTTCGAGCACGTGTTCTTCTTGCCTTTATCGCTAGCGGTCCGAGTGGCCTATTCATTCGAGGTGGTCTCGAGGTGGCTTCGAGGTGGCTAGCGCGCCAACCAGACGCTGCTGAAATGATCCGCGCGCTCAACGAGTGGTTCGCCCACTGGCGATAGTATAGCGGGTTGCTTCTCTCGGTGGAGCTTTAGGCAGACGTCCGGCAATCATCCTCTGCTCCAATACGGCTGACCCTGCGCCCAGTGGATGACTTGGCCTCCAACGGAACCCGTACTTGTCGGATGGTGAATGTTTCTTTTCATTGTTAGAAAATAATCATTAATTCATTCTTCCACGCGGTGTGTAACCAGCAGCAGCAGCAGCAGCAAATGTATCTATATCTTTATCATAACGATGAGGTTTTTCATCGTTCGGATCGTCCACAGTCGCGTACATATTCTCCACTGTATCGTTGTACTACTAGTAAGTTTGTTTTACTTAATATAGGTGCAATTTTCGTTGACTGGGATTAGAATAGAGGTAAAAACATATATAGGTGATGGGCTCGTATCAAATGTTGTCGCAGGTTTTTTGTAAGGAACAATTTTTTAACCGCCAGATCCTGTGAAATGAGCTCAACACGTTGCTGGAGCTAACGTTATGGAAAAGACAATTTTCTAGATCAGTTAAGTGTGTCAAGTCCAGGAAGTTCTCTTGTCGTACATAGAAAACTGGAAGTTTGATTTGAAGAGCGGATTTGTCGCACTGATGGGAAGAAAACGAAGCACTGACGATGTTGCCAAAAACGAAAACGTAACTAATATCTAAGTGTAGCAAATCGCTCAAAACAACTTTGAACTAAAAAGAAATAAACATAAAACTTAGAATCATGTTCGGCTTTATTTTTTATGGCTTTAAATTGATACTCTCATTTCCACTATGTAACTTAGCAGAACAAAATAGACAGAACTAAGAAAATAGTGACCCAAACTTATACAAAAAACGGTACCTAGATAATTTTTTTAAGTAAGGAGTCGCACGAGCACTTTCATTTTGTGGCACTGTTCGCACGGCAATGTACACGATATTGTTTGTTTAACGCGAACCTTGCAAAAAATACGATTTGTTCATTTATGGCCTATTGGATTGTGACCTATCAGACGCCACTGGACACAATTGTCGCGTCAAAGTCTTCTTGCCTTCGTCCGCTCTCTACTTAAAAAATGATCAACACAAGTAACTCTGTTACTGATTGTGTTCCGTTATTTCCGGCCGGTGTTGTTTTTACGGAGGCAGTATTGAAAACATAGTACACAGGTGTGTATATGTATATATATATATATATATATATATATATACCATGTATGTATATATGCATGAACATACATGAACATTGGGAAACATTCTACAAAAAATAGCTCATATATATATATATATATATATATATATATATATAATTGTAACTTAAAGACAATAGCTGTTGTTGTTGTTGTTGTTGTTGTTGTTAAGAATACACATACAGAAATGAGACATAACAAACATAAAAATAACGCACAACGAAAAACTGTCTACGCAAAAGACCTGATGATTTTCATGTCCGAGCGACTTGTTTCTATCTACCTTGTTTACTGTGCATGTGTGCTTTGCATCTGAGTGTATGTGTACAATATATATTGTTTATCACTATGGTCTCGCTCTGTATTGTAAATGATCCAAGCAGATGTAACAACCTGAGAGGTGTTTAATCTACCGTCCATTCAATTTAGGGGCATAATAAATCTGGCAAATTATAATGTACTCGAAAAACAAATTGGAATTTGATGTTAAATTGGCATTAATATGGTGTATATATATATATATATATATATATATATATATATATATATATATAGAAACGGCAGTTGCTGGCCGCTGCCACTACGTCGAGGCTTTTTGGCGGTGCTGGCTGGGTGAAGCCAGTGCATCGGCCAGTAATAGAACGTACAAAGGAAGGAAAATGTGTAAATTTACAACGCAAAAATCTTGTCACTGCGATGCGTTTGACAACAAATGTACACTGTTCTCGCGGACGTTTGTCTCACCATCTTGTGGGAGTTCACTCGGCTGTTCAGGAGTCCGGCAACAGATTTTCACAACAAGGTTAGGCTGAGATACTCTGCCACTGCAGACTCTATATTTACAATCGCAGCAGTACCCAAACGTAGCAGTCCTCACGGATCGTTCCACACGATATCCACTTTGATCAAGCAAGTAGTGATTCTATAGTTGTGTTTAATCCCTTATTCACTTGTAGCGAAGGGACTTATTTAGAGGAAACAGGAAAAAGGTGACCCACTCATGCTAGAAGTACAGTTTCCTCAAGAGATAGCAGAAAATACTTTGGTGTCCCTGCCATTTGCTGCCGGAATCCCTGAATAGCAAATGATACGTAATTCCTACTGCTTCTTCTGTTTGCCTTTTTTCACTCTCACGATCCTTCCACATATCTACATGAAAGAATCCACTACGCTATCGAAGTATTTTACCATTTTCATAGCCATAATTGATGTTATCGTAATAATAATTTTTGCATCATTCATTGTGCACGGGAGGTGCGATCGTAAATACATTTTTTGTTGTTGTCGCTGCTGCGGTTGTTGTTGATCATTGTTGTTGATTTTCGCCGTTCACACACACGGAGTTCTATCATAATCGATATCATTTTGCCCTTTCTTCTTCTTGTTGCTATTGCTATCATTGTTAGAATTGTTGTTGAGTAGGCATTGTTTACTGCAGGCATTATCCGATACGCCGACAAATACACACTTGAATTCATGCTTAACTTAAACAATGAGCGTTGCTTTGTGCGACACCGATAAAGGGTTTCTTTGTGTCAACGCCATCTGTGCGATAACTTCTCTGCTACAGTTCATTGATCAACTTAAACTTCTCTCGCCTTATTCCGCTTTCCTTCTCTAAACCCAACACTTCCGGCGTGAAAGAAAATACATAATACAAATGGAATTACAAAAGCATTTTCGTCCTTCAATCGTAATCATTCTTGGCTTTAGTACGCCACTTGCTAATCCCATCATCACCATATTCATCTTCTTCACCATCTGCATCTGTCACTTCACTCGTGTGATTGGCGTAATGTTCTGTGGTCACCATTGATACATAATAATAATAATGTAATGCGCTATACGTGGAGCTAAGTGCTCTTCGCTTAGGGTTTGTTTATCTTCTTATTATATTTACTGTTGTTATTAGTTGTTTAGGGTTGTGATTGACCGATCCGTAATTTTTCCGCGCACACGCAACCACACATACACAGAGGCATCAGTTCACAATTTGTATAATACAATGGTGTTCGATACTATCGACATCTTTGTTCTACTCAATCAACGTTACAGGTCTGCTCTATGTGCTCAATTTAATTCAACGGTCACTCGTTCAATAGATCATTTTACAACACAACGGAATTGTAATTCCAGTCATTTTCTCCCTCATAGACTTCATCAAGTCATTGCACCGTCGCTTCATCATGTCCATTATACACATCACCTTTATTGATTATTATTATTATAATTACTATGATAATAATAATAATAATAATAATAATTAATACTTAGTACTATTACAGAATTACTGTCTGTACGTGTTGGAATATGGACACGACGTTATGCATCGTTGACCCCTCGAACCCCCTTCCCATCTCCCAGCCCAGCCCACGAATCAATCAACCAGTCAGTCACGCGCAATGGAAAGCAGGAGAAATATCGAGCAAAACGGTCTCTTTCATTAATCTGGATGTACGACGAAGATGGAATACGTGCAATTGAATTAATGTTAGTAATAACGTAGTTTTGATTGAAGCTCATCAGATGAGAAATCATAATCAATCCACCGCTGTGCTTCCGTCTCCTTCGATGAATGATGCTTGCGGATGATGAGAAGCTTTAAGCTTAAAGAAGTCAGTAGTAGCGTATTATAGCAATAGTCGTCGTGAAGGAGGCGAGTCAGTCAATTAATGCAATGCGATCTATGCACGCGAACGAATGCGGTGTCATTTGTGGGTTTGCGAGGAAGAGTCTTTTCTTCGTTCTTCAGAGCAGTGGCTGTTGTGACAGTAGTTTCGAAAAATTCGTACTTATTTAGTGGTCCTTTCCGTCGGGCGGCCCGTTCTGTTGGGCGTAGATGTCAGCCAGTTTCTGGAACCGAGGGCCCCAGCCGTTCAAGTAATCAAAGTCCTGCTCCTGGTCGTCAGTTCCTGCAGGGGTGCAAAGAAAGCAGAGTTAGAAGCAAGATGCGTAAATGAACATTTAAAGGTAAATAGGAATCCGTAAGCGACGTTCTAGCGTAGTATTGATGGCAGCTTCGTTGCTAGGCTTTTATTTGGTCATTGGTCTTAACTTTTGCTTCTAAACACGTTACTTGACATTAGCTATTGGTGTTCTGTATATTTCTCCAATATTCGGCAAATAAAACCTCTTTTTTGATAATTTGATTTTTTAACAATATTCTTATTATTATCAGTCAATGTGTAACACTCGGATATACACAGGTATATGAAATCAAAACAAATAATAATAATTGCAATAAGAATCATAAAATAACATCGTATCCGCAACCAAACTATCCATGAAAAAAAACATTTACCAGTGGAGTTTAGAGAGCTGAGCGAACCAGCAGTTGATCCACTTCCCTCGTACGCATACGTGCGTACGTCATCGAAGGGCGGTGCGTTCGGATCGTTGTCTACTTTGTCTAAGTGCTCAGAGATGAAGTCGCACACGTCGGACAAAGGACCCTCTTTCAGCGGTGCCAGCAGGCCCGCTTTCGGCCCTCCGAGCTTCTTAAGTGTACCGTTATGCATGAGGCCGGGCTGCATAAGCATGCCTCCATTTAGTCCGTTCAGTCCGTTCATACCATTCATACCAGCCATATGACCATTGGGTTCGATAGGAATCCTCAGTGGCGTAATATCATAGGCATTCATATCGTCCTCACCGCCACCCTCGTCGTCGTACGAGATGATATTCTCGCGAATGTCATCTTCACACGGGCCGCCACCGAACTTTTGGTCCGGACGGCGTGACCGGGTGTACGCCACAATCACCAGTACCAAAACTGTAACAGATCATTGTTTCGCATATATTCGAGAATAACAGCCGTGTCAGAAGATGAACGAAGGTCAAGAGTGTCATCTATCTGCCGAAATGCACATTTGCTCAAGTATGTATCATTGTAGATTATTATACCTTCGTGCATGCACAGTCATGCAAACGATGTTCATGTGGGAGAAAACCTTGGTTCGAAATTGGCTACTATAGGAAGTACACTGCGTTAGATTAGGAACTCAGCTATGCAACCCGAAGACGAAAACCAGCATACATTTTACAATCATGTATAATTTTGCATTAACAATAATAATAACAACATCACTAACGAAAACAACGGGCTACGTTAGTGAGATACGTATCGGTATTAATTACTTTCTCAATAATAGTAATGCTACTCACTAAGGATATTAAGCAGGCAGACAAGGATAGCCGCTAGTGCGGCCATACTGAGACGCATAATTTTTTCTTGACGCAGGGCTCCGCAGAGCTCGCCACCGAATCCATCGGGGCAAAGACAGTAGAATCCTTCGCCGTTACGGCGGTTGACACAGGTTCCGCCATTGAGACATGGCTCTGCCAAGCACTCGTCCAGGTCGGTGCAGTTCTTGCCATCTTCTGTGATAGCGAAGCCAGGTGAGCAGCGACATTCGTGTAGCATCCACAAATCGACACAAATAAATGGTCGCGGGCAGGAGATTCCATGGCAGGGATTGTTCGATGGGCATCCGTCAATCAGATTGCGGAATTCTAGTACTGCGGCACTTTCTGAACCACTCTCCATAGGCAAGGATCGGCCGTCGATTCGAATATCGTTCATACAACCCTCCTGGAAGTCGTTATCTACAACCGTGACACCCGGTCCAACGTATTGCACATCGCCCCCGGCGAGTACCTGCTGCTTTTCGACAGCCAACAGCTGATGGGGCGAATTGAAGTCGAGCAGCTCATTGAAGCGTTTTCCCCAACCGCCATCAAGAGCGATTGAGGCGATAGCCCCAAATCGGAGCACCTTCACGGTGTGCCACTGGCCATCATTAACCGACACGTACGGGAGCCATAATTCCTTCTCATCGGTATTTCGATGACGGTCAAGGTTGAACCGGAAGCGAAGTTTCTTATCGCGAATTTCCAGGATCGCATACTCCCGGCCATGTTTACTGCTCAGTCGCAGAAGTTCACCGTTTTTCTGCCGAGTACGGAACTGCATTTGGACGTCAGTGCGGAATGGATGGGGGTCAAATGATAAAGCATACTTGATGTATGAAGATTGCTGGAACATCTTCGAGCTTGTCTCGCGGTCGCAGTTCGGACCGTAATAGCCAGGCTCACAGATGCACTCTGCGCCACGATATGATCCCTCACAGTGTCTAAAATCGTTCAAAAAGGCAAAAACGTATGTATGAATACTTTGCTCTTGAGTTTAGTAGGCAGCTATTTGGTTCTTACCCTGCTACAAAGTAAAAAAAACTTTCCAAATGAAAGCTTTTTAATATTAAACTATACTATAACAACATAAAATAGGTCACCCTAAATAAAAGATCGAATACAATTTAACAGGTGAAGAAATTCTTACCCATGGCCGCAGTTATGGGCGTGACCCGATTCAGCGCAAGTTGTTTCTGCTGGAGGACATCCAGGTACCGAATTGAAGCTGCTTCCTGGACTAGCCAGGTCGTACATCTCGCTATTGTGCACAACATTCTTTATGCATCCATTAAAGCCTTCGACCATATTAGGCCGATAGGCCCAATCGTACGCCTGCGATAGCTCTTTGGTAACGTGTACGCCACCGAGTTGCAGCGGGCTGTTAACGTTTAGAAATTCGTTGAATGGTGGGATCGGATTGTCGAGTGTGGTCACGTTTTCACATCGGCTGCGATCCCCGCCATTGGCATCAAGGTATCGACTCTGCATACAGTGATTCAGCGTGATTCTAGCCGTTTGTCGATCCCAATATAAATCGATGCGCTGCCATCGCCCGTCGACAATTTTGTCTTCCGGTGTTACGGTCAATTCGACGGTGCCGGAGCCGAAATCTAACAGCAGTCGAGGTTTACCCTCGACCAGTTCGAGGCTAACGAAATCCTGCACTATTAGCTCATCGGAATCGGGCATAGCGATTGGTCCGTTGTACAGCACCAGACCATTTTCAGACGTCGTCATGAACTCTAGTGACAGGTGACTGCTCTCGCACTGCTGAAGCGGTGGGAACCAAGCGAAGCCTTTCCCATTAAAAAAGCGAGTCGTCTGTTGGCACTGAGGGCCGTAAAACCCTGGCGGACATTTACACTGAATGCCTGTATGAGTATCGAAACAGCGCCCTCCATTGAAGCATGGGTATGGTTTGCTGCGACATGTTCGTTCTCGTTGACTTTCAGCGGAATAGTCTCGGGCTAGACATTCACAGACAGCCCTTACAAACGCATTGACTCCGACAAACGAAGTCCGGTTGGCGTTTACCATAACTGGGTTTTTCTCCACAATCAGCTCGTTGCTACAGCTTCCTTCGCAGTTCACGTTCTCGTAGAGACATTCGTCGATGCCAACCTGCGTAATGTTCACTCCCACCTTACGTTCGATTAGCTGGCGGTTGAGCGCTACCAGGCCATTTAGCATTGAGGCCTTATAGTAAGGGGAGCCGTGGGCTGCGAAGCGTACATCGGTAATTGGTGGCCTCGCCTGTTTCAAAATGACCGAGAATATATCGACATTTTCTGACTTCGTCTTAACCAGTTCGGAGATGATATCTCGGAATTCTTCCATCTTTGATTTGACTTGTTTCTGTTGCTTCCAGTCCCACACGCGGATGAAATCTTCGTCGGTTATTCCAGCAATACGGATTGATCCCGAATTATGGATAGCCTCTTCCGGAATTTCTTTAACAGTAACCGTAACGTTAGCTGTCGCTTCTTGCGTGTGCATACGATCGTAAACCAGAAACTTGAGTTCGTATACGCCACCACCCGTCACGTTTTTCATCGTGATCATACCAGTATCGGTGTCAAGCTCGAAGTTTTCGTGCTCCTTATTGTTCTCCCAGAAGAAGGTCTTATCGGGCAGGTCCCAGTCATCAAGATCCTCGACGTGCACTCGACCGATCTTAGTTGGCGGATTCTCGCCTTTAAAGTTGTACACAAAAATGTTCTTAGAACCGGGATGCATGCGATTATCGTTGCTGTCGCCAATGATGACAGTTAGCGTGGATGTCCCTGTCAGGCTGGGACTGCCAGAGTCCTTTATCAAGATAGGGACAAGGTACTCCTTTTGCACCTCACGATCAAACTGCTCCTTTGAATGTACCACTGCCATACCATCGCCATTAGCTCCGGTTGGATCGTGCTCTACGCGGAACAGCTCCTTGATATAGTCTGGTGCATTAGGGTCCATGCGGAATGTGAAAGGGGGCCCGTTGTTTTTTGATCGGTCATCGTCGTCGGTGGCAAGGATCTCTTGAACTTTCATGGGTGGTGCTCGCTCCGGGATCACAGGCCTATAGTCATACTGGAATCTTGGTGGATTGTCGTTGATGTCAGATACGACCACTGTAAGTGTGGCAGTCGCCGTCCTCGCAGGAGTTCCATCATCAATGGCTAAAATTTTCACTTGGTGTCGAGGAGTCTCTTCACGATCGAGTGGTCGCTGGATTTTGACCACACCGCTACTCGAGATAGTAAACTGTCTCCGCTTATCAGAGCTCCTGTCAATCTGATAGCTAACTTTTGATTTGCCTCCTTGATCGGCATCGGTTGCCCGGAAAGTGGCCAGACTCGAACCAATGGTAGAGTTTTCGGGCACGGACACCTCGATGTTGGGCTTTTCGAACTCAGGCCGGTTGTCATTAATATCCCTTAACCTCACACGTACCTTAGCGTAGTCTAGATGGTAAGGGTCCGCACTTTCTCCTCCGTTGTCACTCACTTGTATTGTTACATTGAAGCCGTACCTCTGCTGGAGATCTTCGAAATCCAGGGGCTGAAATCAAGATAACAATATTAATAGAGGATAACTGTTACGGATCACTCCAGTCTCCGATTACAAATACGTTGCTGTAATAACTATTTATCTTTGCACAAAACGGCACACGCGCCCTCAGTTACGACTGGTGGCAAGATGTTTTATTTACCTTGGCAATTTTGAGCGAACCGGTTCCGTCGGAGTTTGTGACCATGGTGAAACGGTCTGCTCCAAATGAGCTATCGATGACTTTATACGAGAATCTGTTCGTCTCGAGCAGGTCTCCGTCGTTGACAGAAACCACCAAGATGGGCGCTTCCGGAATGTTGTCCGCCTCCGTCTCGTCCACCTCGACATACCATTCCTTCTTGGTGAACTCTGGTGGCATATCATTAATATCCTTGATCTTGATGGTGGCGGTACCCGTGCCTTTGAGACCACCACCGTCAACCGCCACTACCTGCAATGCAATGACGTCGGACGGAACACGTAATCGAAGGTCACGTGAAGGATCAATTATCTTGACTATCTCGTTGACCACAATTGAAGCGCTAACCTAATTCAACGGGATACTTTTAGTGGCACCTAGTCAGTCATTCACCCGAGATGGTTGGAGATCCGCCATGTTATACAACGCTTTCAGTCGACAGCGCGTACAATCGATTAAAGAGTTGAAATGTGTCCTGTTTTCGTGTCCGATGAATACTATCGTCAAAGGTCGAACAGATGTTTTACCTCGTTAGCAGTAAATTCGATTCGTGTAAAACTTAACACAGATATTAGACCTGTTCAAATATCTGATAGATGTTCGAGTTAGTTTAGAACAGATGTTTACAGATGAAAACAGTAGTGGAATAGTACCTCAACTGTGAAGACCATAAGCAGGTGTTCATAAAACTGAGCCGACTAAAATTCGGCATATTTCGAAATTAGATTAGCTAATCAGATAAAACGCATGGGTACACTAACGGCTCAATGGCATCTTTGTAGAGCTCTGTTCTGAGAATGAGATCCTGCTTTACTGCAAGACGCCGATGTCATGTCGCCACAATAAAACAAGCCGACTGTGTCTGTAATTTTTAGCACGCTAGATGGTCCGTGGTATAAGAGACACAAAAAGTATCTTCGACCAGCTGAAGTGCCTAACATATCAGTTGTATTGCCACTTCTGCACGTTGAACGCACACATCGAAAATCTAAGCGACTGTACTGCGCGTTCGCAATGTATAGGCACTTCGACATACCTTGATGGTGTACTCGGGATTTGTTTCCCGGTCTAGACAGCAGACTGCTGTCGAGATGACGCCCGTCTCCTCGTCAATGGCGAAAATGAGCTCGCCATTTTCATTCACCTGGTTTTGTTCGATCGAGTACGTAAGTTTCGCGTTAGCGCCCTCCATCGGGTCATCATAATCCGTGGCTGTCATCGTCATGACAGTCATACCCGCTGTGCCATTCTCCGTCACATTGCCAGTGTACACGGCCGCCGGGAAGAACGGTGCGTTATCGTTGATGTCTGTTGATTGATTTAAAAAAAAACGAAACAAAGCGAAGATGCCCAAACAATGAGTATCACTGGTGGTTCATTATCCATGTTACTCGACCGTAACTAGAAGTCATAATGCGTTTTAGGGTTCATACGCCCGCTAAGCCAGCGATTTAGAGTAACTCGAGAGTTCTAATTTGAAGCTAGCGAAAAACTATATGGCATACTTTGCCCCAACCGCAGATCTGTCTACTACTACTTCCGATACTCACCCTTCAGATTAACAAGCACGTCAGCAAATCCTACCAAACCATTACCGCCCTCGTCTTCCGCAAACACAGTGAATCTCCATTGGGAGCGGCCCTGAGGTAAGTCCCTATCTAAGGGTTTTAGTACGTAAATCTCTCCGGTTGTCTGGTTAATAGCGAACTTGTTATTTTCGGCGTCGGTATTATCCACGCCCTGGCCGGTTAGGAAGTACACAATATCCGACTCTCGGTCTCGGTCACCATCCGTTGCTGTAACCTAATGAGCGAATGAGCGGAAAGTGTAGCCCGCGGAGATCATCGATATCACATTAAACAAGTGCAAAAAAAGCGATTATAACATTGGCCGCTGATTCGGTCTTGTAACTAGAGCGTGGCTAGATTTTCCAGAAGCAAAACGTCGGAGCTAAACTCTCCTCCTCATAAAAAGGTATGGAGAAGACGTGAATAAAAACAATATGGCGACTGCTACTACATTGAGCAGGTGATTAAGAGCAAGCTAGGTAAAAGTTCACCACGTGTGGCCTTTTTTTTCGGTGCTATGGCATCGAACGAAGAAGTCATTTCAAGATCATAGATATGACGTTTAACCTCATTAAATAACGATCTGCAACAAAGTGTAAATTTTTCTACATTCGTCGTCCTTCAATGTGTTCCTCAATGGGCAATCTATGCTTTTAGCCATAGTGCCCTCATTATACCCATCTTATTTATACTTTTGCAAGTTCAGTCTATACTAACTTACCTTAAATTCTAACACACATGTACTCAATAAACATCCGTCACTTTTGTTCGTGCCTTCAAAAACATCCCAGTCAACAACTGGCAAAAAATGATAGATATACATAATTATAATGTCACTAATGTTGCGAATCAGAACTAATCAAAATTATTTTCTAGAACCTAACAAACCATAAACGTTAACTTTCAAAATAACAAAAGCATTAAAAGGCCAATTATAACATATAAGCGTGAAGAGTTTTAGCAGCGACAAGTGAATCACCGATATTTAGTTACTTATAACTCCGTTCGCCATTAACTGTCAGAAGACTACCGCAGAGTTCAGGAACAGAAGAGTAAATAAAACATACGTCTAAAAAACAAAAAATACCTGAAGAATCTTTTTAGGCAGCCCTCTATCGTCTTCCTCAGGGATAGTGGCTTCATATGAGCCCCGCTCAAATTTGGGCGGGAGGTCGTTGATGTCCTTAATCTTGATGTGGACAGTCGCATTGTTCTCGGACAATGTATCAGATGCAGTCAGAGTGAGGTTATACTGTAACCGAAGAACGAACAAGCAAGGCAAGCGGCATGGGCCATGAAACAAAACATTGCTGAATACCGCAACAACCATCGTAACCGACTCACCGTGAGAATTTTTTGCGGCAGATTTCGATCGTTTTCTTCAGTGATCTGTGCCTCGTACGTTGGTCGGTCAAAAATTGGAGCGTTGTCGTTAACGTCTTTGACGCGTATAAGAACTGTTGTATGATTCTCGTTTAGATTGTCGGAGGCGACCAGCCGAAGCCGATACTGTTATTGACAATGAGGTCAGTGATAAAAACAATAAACACAATGCGCCGAATTCCGACAATGAAATGTAAAGTGGCCGAAATGGCAGATAAACGGAAACGTATCACGTCGACAACAACGACACCAGATCGGTAAAAGACGCGTAGGTGATGACAAGGCACACGATGACGATCAAATGAGGGCATCAGTCCCAGAGCAGCGTGTAAATATTAATCAGTTCAATAATAGGGGTGTACAAATGGTCAGTTATCCGTTTTCATGTTGTCATAACCATTCTTATGATTATCACAAAATATATATATAAGGAAAATGTTAATGAAACGAGAATTGGCCATAATCATAGAGTATACGTTATTTTTATTATATCACAAGTCGTGACACGTTCTTAAGGTGTTCGGAGAAAAGCTGACCTCTTTTCTGGTCTCATAGTCAAGTGGTCCAGCCACATAAATCGCGCCAGTCTCGTTCTTAACCGCAAATGCCCCTCCAATATTTCCTTGAGTAATTTCGTAGCGAATACGGGAAGCTGTAAAGAGCAACAGCACGCGTTGGGAATATATCGACGAGTTAGCCATTCGGTAACAATGAAAGAATTACGATCTTCTACTGCTGAATGAGATAAGTCTGTTTTCTCGATTTTTGTTCCATGTGTATTTAAGTAAACAATAGCTTTAAACACAACAAAATAAAGCTAACAACAGTTTCTCCATATAGCATACTATAATAATCATACATCCCTATTCTCGTACTTTGCACAGGCTACGGCCTCTTCATAATCGGACGTGGACTATTTTCTAGTTTTGTCCTTAACGTTAATAATGAGTAGAACGAAAAGCAAAATTGAAAGGTGAAAAATACTCATCTAGAGACACTTACAGGGTCGAGCCTCTACAAAACGGGTAAACAACAGTCAGTGTATCCTGCATAGAATAAACAAACTATTTTTTGGCTCCCTTTCTGCGTTCCTGATTTCCAAACTCACTACACATCCGCTGCCGTAAAATTTTATCTCGCTGCGATTCGTGTCTCCGTGCCATCGCGCAGGTACGAAATCATGTAAAGTTAATGAAAGCAGCGACATATAACGCGCTGATGGCACTTTTCCTCATTAGAGTAGATTCCGTCGGCGCTTTTCTGAGCCCCCGCTAGTCCTTCGTAGAACCCTCGCCTTCCCATTCCCCGGAGTCTGTAGTAGCTCCACTGTTCTGCCACTTCCCTACCATAGGGCAACAGCCTTTCACGAGGACGGTACAACACAATTTTTTTGGGACTTGCCTTCCTTTTCTGCAATATATGCGGCAGCTACGTCCAACTATTTTCAGGGCTGTTGTGGGTTTTCCCTCAAGACTCATGATGCTCGCAAAAGGTGCTGGCCTGAAGAGGCAAGAAGAAGGGAATAGATAACTAAGAAGCAAAAGAAAGAACGTTCACGAGAGCTATTGCAGCTGCGTTTGCTTACTCAGCCTCTTGGTTCGGTATCCTCTTCTACTCTAAAGAGCGTAGTTTCTGCACGCAGACCAGTTGGCCTGGTCGGTTTTACCTCGCTCTGCCTGAGTCGTTGATGAGCGATGCTGAGGTAGCCTATGTGATGATACGATGACACTGCTATTTCGCTTTGCCATTTTACGTCATTCTATCTAATTTCAGATGTACGCATTAGGTGGTGCCGGCGAAAGGCTACGGCTGGCTTCTGGTTTGCCAAATTTCTGTCTTCTTCTCACGATTTCGCCCATCTCCATCATCCGTTCTCCTGCCACACTTTGCAGCGTTTCTTCCACGCTAAGATTACTGTTGGTAGTGGGAGTAATGATAAAAAGAGTCGCCGGGAATGCGAGCTAATCCCGCAATGTGGCCGGGCGGTGAAAGTCAAAAAAGCAACGATAAGATGGGGTAATTTAGAGCCATCCGCAAACAATGCAGGGAATACTAGAAATGTCTGATTGCATATCCAATTAAACACGGTCAGCGGGTTTATTTTTTTTGTCGCACAAAAAAAAATTGATCTCGCCTGCCTCGACGACAAACCCCGTCGACATGAGCAGACTTACTAAAAACAGAAGTCTCGAAAGTACAGAAAGAAATGCTAGGAAAAAAGGTGCATGAGATGACGTGAGATATCTATTAAACATGGGGAAGATTTACTTCAACGATTTAGCCCTTTCTATTTTTCGTTTTTAATCTCTTGAGCTTTTGAAAAGTGGGCAATGGCAGAACGAGCATTGAAAGCAATATTCCTGGAAGACGAGAAACACTGCTCATAATTTTGCGTTTATCCACAGACAATGCGCAATAACTGAATAAAACACACGAGGAGTTAACGAAGCCCATCCATTAGGCTTTGTTTCTGGATAACGTTTCTTCACATTATCCAGAAACAAGCTTACTACAAACTCTGCCTATTGCTCGAAACAGTCACGATCAGACCTTCAGTCTTAGGTGCTGTTATTCGAAACAAACAAACCTATAGGCAAAAAGGCTAAATTAAAATACTCACATTCATCTTTATCTTTGGCAGTAACGGTGATCACTGTGTGTTGCACATCCTCGTCTTCATTGACCTCCGCTTCGTACAGACCTTGTGAGAAGTAGGGCGGATTGTCGTTCTTGTCTCCAATGCCGATCCGGATATATTTTGTTACAGAATTTGGCGAGTTGCCACGTATATGCGGCCGTGCTGAGGGTGCACCGTCCTCCGCGCGGACCTGGATAGCATACGCCAGCTTCTCCTCGCGGTCGAATTCAACCTTGGTGTAAATATCGCCAGTCTCCCGATCAATCGTAAAATACTTATCACCTTGATCCTTGGACTCTATCGCGTAGTACACCTTGTTGTTAGGGTATGTGCCATCCTTGTCCACGGCTTGCACTTGGGTAACTTTCGTGCCTGGAGGCATGCCCTCGAGCACCGTTTCCTGTTCACGCTCAATGAACAACGGAATCTCATCGTTGACGTCCTCTAAAACGATGTAAACTGTTGCCTCACTGGCTAGTTGTTGAATTCCGTTGTTTTCAACACGTATCGTCAGGTTGTATTGCTGTATCTTTTCGTAGTCAAGAGGATAATTGACGAAGAGTTCGGCCCATGTGTGGCCGCCGTCGTTTCGCTGATTCAGATAGAACGTATCCTTCTTGTTTGTTTGCTCGGTGCTACCTTTCATAAGCGTGTAGAATACGTCCGGATTATCGGGAATACCTGACCGAGCCTTAATCGAGATGACCTTCGAACCTACTTCAAGGTTCTCTTTGATGAAAATTGGGCCGTAGACAGGCTGGTCCCAGATCGGCGGATTGTTAGCGCGATCAACCACGTCAATAACAACCTCGACCGTGGCCGAATGCTGTGGAGTACCCTTATCGGTGGCGATCGCACGCAAGTGATACGAGTCCCGGTCAAGCGGTTTCTTCAGCTGGATCCATCCGCTCTCGGGATTAATATTGAAATAATTCAGGTCAGTCGGGTCGTACGGCGCTGTTAGATTGTAGATAATAACGCCATTCAAATCGGCATCCTCGTCACTCGCGGACACCCTCAATATCGGGTTGCCTATCTGCGTGTCCTGTTTAACGTTCTCGCGATACTCTTGCCGGTCGAATAGCGGTGGATTGTCGTTGACGTCGGTGATTTCCACTTTAAATGAGCACACACCCTCAAGTGGAGGGCTGCCACGATCAGTGGCTTTTACCGTGACCGACACAAACCGTCCGTCGTCACCTTCCCGGTCAAACACTTTGTTCGTACGAATCTCTCCGGTAACTTCGTCAACACTGAATTTCGTGCCTTTCTGGTTTGGCTGCTGGACCATCGAGTATCGGACCTGGCCGTTATGACCTTTATCGTTGTCCTTGGCGCGGACGCGGATCACCGATGTGCCACTCTGGGCACCTTCCTCAACTTTCGGTGCGTAACTGCCACAGTCCTCGAAGACGGGCTTGTTATCGTTAACATCTGTGATGAAAACGACAACTAAAGCGGTAGAAGTATGCGGTGTGAGAGCCCCATTCTTACAGCACGCTCCATCGTCGCGTGCCGTCACGTTCAACTCGTACTTGTCCCTGTGAACGATATATCGCAATGAATGCGGCAACGGCACAGAAAATAAAAACACGGATAGTTCACTTGAAGAAATTTCACAGAACATAATTTAACTGCTATACGAAGGCAAGCTGATGGCATGTAAAAGCACAAAAAATACCAGATAAAACGAGATAAATACGAAACAAACGGAAGAAAAGTGCGAGCGGAACTCGTATAAAACATCATGCAATCTAATACGACGTAGAAACGAAGAATCGCAAACCAACGGAAAATACACATGAGCTATGCTTAAACAGTTTGATCGTAAGTTAAAGCAAACGAGAACATCATTGATAACGTATAGAGATAGCTAGCTATCATGGAAACATGCGTTACCACAGAAGGGTAATATATGCGCAAGATCTCACTGTTCTCTAATCATTCTTGACGCGACTAGGTGTTTACACATATGTACTTAGTATATACATGCAAACCTTGTATTGCATGGTTAGGTACCTCTTAAGGGCTTTTGCGGTTGTGCGAATAGGCTTAACGAGAGCATTAAATGCCTTAAGAGAATTAACTGTGGTCTTAAACTAGAAATACGAAAAAAAATGCGTTTTTAACAATTAATTATGCCACACAACTGAGAGTCAAAGTGCGAAAGTTGCCTGGTTTCTCGAGCTCTATTTAATAGACACAAAACTATATTTTTAAATAACTCGATTTTTCACAATGAGATTAAATATGTTGATTTTTTAGGGAAATTTTAAAAATTTCTGTGATGAATATGGTATTATTACATTCTTGCTTTGTTTACCGTGCATTAGTATTTACATGAAAATAAATGTAGGTCACTTTCTTCTTAAAACTGAAAAATGGTCGTAAAGAGTAACGGATAGGGCCTAGCGTTATGAAGGCTTAATTGCACTGAAGTTACAAAATGAAACATTTGTTGCAAGATCACAGAATGACAAAAACACGATACTGACTGTTACTCTATTTTTCAGCAATGGAAATCTTGTTCTCTTTCATCTAGTCAAGCCTAAGCGCAGAAAACCACAGATATCGTTAGGGGCCCAATTGAGAACCGCTACCACCTTATTTACATACACAGTTACTCATCAATAAATATCGGATTAATAATAATAATAATGGGCCGTAAGGATAATATGAGAGTTTTTCCAGACAGAGTCGTCGTAACCAACGTGTCGAGAACATAGGGCGCAAGCAAAAACAAAGAAATTGTTTGCTTACCTGTCGAGATTGATCTTTCCGGTGTCAATCAAACGGATCACTCCGGTTCGTTCTTCAATCTGGAACATACCGCTAGTCGTTCCAGAGTTTACGAAGCCAAATAGAACATTATCGCCGTCTTTGTCCGACGCAACCACCGTTGTCACTAGGGTACCTGTGTTGTCACAGAAGCAGAAATACAAAACAGGTGGTAACGGAATATTGCTATTAGAGTTACCTCGGAGGCATCTCTTAAAATGCATTCACGTTTCTACTCCAAGTGCAATGCATTCTTAGGGTGTAAAGATGCAAAATATTGCCGCGAGAGGGTGCCATCATTTTACTCATATATGTACATAGGATCATTATGGACTCATTTTTCAACCTACTTTAAATCTACGATGAGGCTCAAAGGAAGAACTCATGAGAACTGAAATCGCCAAAGACTCGCACCGCATCTCCCGCTTATTGTGCCAGATTCGTTTCGGCAGTTAGCTGGTACTATTTTCGAAGTTTCCACGCTAAGTTTTATAACATTTACTACACCTCGCGTTCTGCGGGGAGAAATCGAAAATAACCTAGCGAGAAACAACCCTATATATGAAAGCTGCTTTCATTTGCTTCTATTAGAACAGTTAAAAGGCCGTATAACGGTAGCGTCGCAATAGGTCAGCGGAGCAACGACATTCCGAAACGCAACAATAAGCACGCTACCACCACGAGCAGCAGCAATGATGGTGTTATAGCATTGATTTCGTCGGTGCCACCAAAAAAACCGTTTCCCCTTTCTGAAAAATATGTTGCTTCTGTTGTTTATCCTGTTTTTAGCACCGTAATACGTTCTCTCTTCTTCACCGTAATACGAGGGAACGACCCGATATTATATAGTTGTGAGCATGCTGTCTCCTGTCTATACATGCATGAACGTGTCCTCGATATTATTTTGGCTGTCCTGTCATCTATTCCGAGACAGAAGCCCGGTTAACAGAGAAAGGTCAAGGCTGAAAGCGGTAAGGAAGGGGGTATGCTATGTAGTAAACACCCTATGGACATTTTTTCTCCAGTTAACACGTCGAATACGGAAGACAAACGGTGCAAACGCCAACCTTCCCTCAGCAGCCAGTTAACCGAGTACTAACCATGAAGCATTCAAGCCTCGAAGTTCTACCGGGGGGACATCTTTCATCGCTCGTGTGGCCTTCATCAGTTCCCTCACTATATATTTCCAACACTCATCGACCGCGTTGAGTGTGAACAGGGCGTGCATGAACCATTTCTCGTCCCTACCTCCCTTACTCTCACACACTTAACCCTGATGTTATTTACAATGCTTTTAAGCCTGTTTACTTAGAAACACCGCAGACAGACAGTATAAAGAAAGACGCGTGCTAGCAGTCGTTAGAGGAGAGGTATACGATATCTAATGATCGCCCCGGCCGCCGCTACCAATGTCATCGCGGCCGGTGTTGGCATCTTCATCGTTTACTCCATGTTCCACCTACCCGTCGTTTGCAGTTCACTACATTGTTACGTTGCAGTTAAAAACTAAGCTATTAGTAGCTCGCTCACTAGGAGCTGAGTAGGAACCCGCGATATTTATTAGCATTGAGTCTCGTTGAATGCTTTTAATATATCACTATCATAGTTATTGCTGCACCGGTACTATTGCCACTGCAATATACGTATATCGTTCTCTTTCATCACACTTACAACAAAACGAAAGAGAGAATTATCTCAGCGCAAGATAACGTTGACATCAACACCACCATCAACGTTTGATCATCACCATCATTGTCTTCTCTGCCAGTCGTTAAAGTCCCCTCACTATAAACCTCTGTGTTCTATATACTAGCTTCACTCCCCATCTCATCCAGTGCAGGTGCATCCTGAACTTTTCCTTGTCATAAAAATAGGTCTAAAGGGTCGTCTCGACTTCGTTCCTTAAGCATTCGTTCAACTTTCCTGCAATCCGTTCCTTGTCGTTGTGTAAGGAAAGGAAAAGACCTTTGATATACAGAGAATAGGCTGTATGGCAAACGGAGAGGGGTAAAGAAAGGAGAGCAGATAAGAACCTTTCCTTGCTTTATAGATGAATCGACCCTCCCATCGTATGCCAAGGGGGAAAAAGGCTCGGCTTGCAGTGACCGACGAACTTCACCGCTTCGTCGTTCCAGAACAAATGGCAGAGACTTGGGCCCGTTTGGGCTGGCTTTTGGAAAACGGTCCTTCTGTGTTGGCCCCCCGCGAGACTTGTGATAAAAAAAAAAAGCTGGAATAGCGGACACTACCGTCTGTGAGACCAAAACACGGGAACGGCGGGCCAAAACGGAACTAGTGTGTATTAGAACGAGCGGGGTCCAAAACCAGCCGCTATGGCGGTTGGCGAACAGCAGGCGTGAAGATAGAGCGGAATCGTATGCGGAAACTCTAGCGATGAACGGTTGCAGGCTTTCAGCACGGAAATGCAGCAGCCGAAAATGATTAGGGAAAAATCTGTATCGTTTCGCCCTGTATTCGATTTTGCTATACTGTAAATATTATAATACTATATAATCGCTCGTGCCATCCGTGCCGTTTATCTGCTTGCCCTACTGAAAAGAAACGAGAGATGCGACGTCAAAAAAGTCATAAAGGGGGTACAATCGATAGGGAATATTTCGCCGTTAGCTCAGATCCAACGTCGCCGCCAACAACACGTTACAACTACGTGTATTACATAGACCTTCGATGCTTTCAAACTGCACAACGGATTACAACGTTTAACAAATTCAGTGATTTCCTGAGAGAACTACGTCAATATACGTTGAGAGCACGACGTATTTTCTATTTTTTAGTAGACGTGCATGTAAATAAATAGTTGTATTCCTTAAATATTGGCCGATGCAATGGTCAAATAAACCAACATGGGGCCTACGATAACAGTGTTCTCAACGGTGGGAACAGCATGCACTCTACTGGTACTGGTGCTATCTGACTGTATCGCCATGTATAAGTAGCATAAAAGTAAATCTCAGTTAGAAAAAGTCAGTCGATGATCGTTAAAGGAGAGTTAAAAAAGCGACCATGTAATGCTGAACGTTCGTTGTTAAAGCTATATATAATTACTTAGGCACAGATCCTATCTAATGTTTCGAAATGCTTTACTTTCTTTTTTAACCCAAGATAATATCAATTTGAGTGGAGTCCTTATACTATTCCAGTGTTCTACTCATCGGAGGTGCATTTTTTTCTGTGTCTATATTTCTGCGTCTTTTTTCCTGCTCGACTACAGAACTTTGTTTGACGGATCGCTTGTTTTGACCGTCACTTCGTCGATGCAGAATCAATTGCTTACCAGGTCCTGCGTTTTCATCGACGTTTGGCGTGTACACATCTTGCGAGAATTTCGGCGCCTCGTCATTTTTGTTCTCCGTATAGATTCGCACAGTCGCCGTCCCGGTAAGTGGTGGTTCGCCGCGATCGGTCGCCTTGACTGTCAGGACATACGTGTTATTCACGTCCGCGTCGAGCCGCTTATTCGAGTAGATGTTCCCTTTCGAGTCAATAGTGAAGTCCTCTTTGTCTAGTGAATACGTGATTTCTGCATTTCGACCCGTGTCCATATCAGTTGCCTTCACCTGCAGGATCGACGTGCCGACTGACACGTCTTCATCGATATTGTGCGCCTGGTAATCCGGCAACTCGAAGCGAGGAGCATTGTCATTCACGTCGGTCACCTTAATAACGAGCTCGACCGAAGTAGAAAAACCGCCGGAATCTTCGGTGGCGGTAACCACGAGCGAATAACTCTTCGGCTGACGGAGGTCTTCGTAGTCCAGCTCCTTGGCCAGCTTTACGATACCAGATGTTGGGCCAATGTTAAATGTGCCTGCGCCTTTACCTTGTGCCCTTAGCGTATAACGGATCTCGCGGTCAGCAAATGACTTAGCCTTTACCTCAATGATGCTGTAAGCAGAAAATGGAGTAGTGTGCTTCATGTCAGTATACTTAACTAACCAAAGACATGGAACACTTGTTAGATGGACAATACATGGTAAATGACATTGAATATCGTTACAGATATTCTCTCTACTTATTGACATAACATTCTATATATAAATTCTCATAAAATGTATAAATAATATAAATTCTCTTCCTTGGACGTTTATACCGCATGAACCGTTTTATATATACGTTGAAAGTTGATAATATATATATGTATATAAGCAACTTGGTTAAACGATATCAATGGCATTAAGTTGTCGAGGCAAAACGGTTGTCTAGGCTCTGCTCTTTAATTTAAAAAAAAAAAAAGAAATTTGAAGTTCAATCAAGAAATTCGTGCTATTATGTGAAAGCTTTACGTATTGAGTATAATCACAATTTCTTAACCAAGTAGAGCTACATGTTTCAGATATACCGTACTGCATTCGTTCGATTGATACATCCGAAGTTACTCTTAGATTATCTCTTGTTTGGACTAGGCCATTTATTCTGGGTAGAGTAAATAGCATACGCCATTACCTGTCAGTTATCAATTTGACCGTATATTTCATTGGCAAAATACTTTCGTCAGACCATAGAATGTTATTTTCTGATACTATATAATTCCGAACACTTTAAAGTGCACTAACAGATTATAGAATACAAGTTGAAAAATGCAAGTGCCGGTGCCGTCTTTAACTAAAACCAAGTAAGTTAATCTGGATCGCATATCTTTCCGAATCGCGAAAATAAAGTTGCTCGTCTTTACTTCCAAATCAAGTCTTCTAATTTATTTAGTTAGCTACTATAATTAATTAGGTCAGGTAGGTGGCTTCGGGTTTGTGGTTTAGCTTGATCCGGCCGCTTCTCGTTGGTATATGGAAAGAGTATTAGCAGAACCGACTCTGTCATTTTAATTACCGCAGCCCCTTCTTCATTTTTCGACCACCGGCACGTTTTGCGCAGTAAACCTGCGTTAGGCCTCCCACACAAAACCGCAGAAAGGGAAGTTCATGATATTTTTTCAAGCGACATCATCTGCTGCAGAAGTGCACCAGTTTACTTCGAAGAAACTCGCAGAAGTCTCCGTTAGTCTAAATCACGTGGATGCAGAAAAATCATTGGCCGATGCGAATCAACGGAGCGTGCACGTCAGAGCCAAAAATGCACGCACGCGGTGGGCACGCTGCAACCACTGATAGTGCCGCAGCAATTCATTCTTACGTTTGTACAGCGTCGACCGCAGATGGGGGCAGAGAAAAACTATTTACTAATCTAGCGATATTACCATATCTCGTTCTATCGAAAGTTGCATTGGATGTCTTTTTTATTTGTAGTTAACACGTATATACATTCCATAGCGCTCATAACATACTTCTGTGCATACATATTGAAACGGACGGTAGTATCAAAACTCAATATGAAAGCAGAACATTGTGAAGCACTCACGCTAACATTTAATAATAATCAATGTAGCCTGAAAATTAAATGGATTAAATACGAGGTTTTGTTTGGTTTATAGATGTTACTGAACTAAAGCATATGTGTACAAAAAAACGGCAATTGAAACACATCTACCTGCAAAGGAAGACACTTTGTGAAAATTGATTACCATTTTAAATTAACTAGTAACATCCTACATAGTACAGCATTTGCGAACACTATACAGAAAACAGCAGCTGGCGCTTACGCCCAAGCGGTAGAACCCAAACTCTAACCGGCCTCGATGGCTGCACCCACGCCGCCTATGTAACAATTATAACAACTGTTATAGTCACTGCCCTTTCCACTTCGACGCTAGCAGAAGGGGCACGGCGAAAGGAAGAAATGGTATAGCCGCCAAGAAAGATGAAAATACCTTCTGAGTTGTCTGTCGTCCCTTGTTTTATCTTTAGCTTTTTCGCCGCTGTCGTTTTGCTTATTCAAGTAACATCCAAGTAACTCATCTTCCATTGAAGGGTCGTCGACCTAAGACAATGCTTCACGACTGCTGCATCCGTCGTCGCATCTGATTACGCTAGAGTTTGTGACAGCAGCAGACTGCTGCTTTTGCAACAACGGTTTTAGCTGCGGCGGGCCATCTAGTGATGAAGCGCACCCAGTCTCTCGTGGTGATGGTGGCAAGGGTCATCTTTCACCGAAAAGCTCACAATGCAGTCGCCGAGCTGTGCCTGAGTGAATGAACGGGCAAACGGGCGACCACTGTCAGTTCGACGTTCCTGTCTCCGCAAAGGGCAAAATCCAACTCAAAGTGAATATATTTCTGCGCTCTTCAATGACAAGACGAAGACAACGATATTTTCTGTTATATCTTCACGAAATACCAGCAGCAACAAAAATAGGTTTAATAACCGTGAACAGCCAACAGAAAACTGTTAAGCAAACATCCACAAACACCACGACCGGACATAAACGGTCCCACAGGATTAGCTAAACGCTTTCTTCGTTACTTAAATATCGATCAGTTGAGAGATGATCGGAGTGAGACGCGCCTGTGATCGTATGATGAAAATACAGTACCCGTCCGTGCGGAGCAAAATGGAACGCCATTGCTGGCAAAAGAAAATGTGGCATCGACAACAGGTGCACTCCATCATAAAGACGAGTATCGTTACTAATGCCTAAGGAAACCTCTTTACTTTTATCATTCGCAGCCAGCCGTGTCCGGCTCGGATAGGGGACAGGGATTTGACGGGGGTTGTTGCTGCCGCTGTTATTACAACAACAATCGCCTTCGGTTATTCTTTCTACGACGATGGCAATAGCGCCTTGGACATTAACAATAGCGAGGACAGTCAAAACGCACAGCCATTCCACCCGCGCTGGCCACGAGACAATGCACATAGTCTTTGTTATTGTTGTTGTTAGAATCGAAGCAACAAACCAACAGCAGAGGCAACAATAACGAGCACGAAGAAGACGACGAGGGCATCACAACGACTCTCCCGCCGGGTGTGCGGATCCACCAGAGAAAGGTATATGCGGATGTCTGATACTATGCCACGATCATGTAACAATACATTAAGCGGGGACAAAGCAGATCACACGAACACGTCTGTACACTGAGGACAGCGGTTGAAGTGGATGTAAAACAATTACAACAGGTATTTCAACACAGGTTTCGTCGTCAAAGTCTTATAATCGAGAACGACTGATGCAGGAATAACCTCGAGCGTAACTTCATCTGCCACTGTTTCATATCCAGTGTTATTAAGCGATACCTTTGATTCAACATATGTTTACCAAACTAGTTGCTACAGTGTCCAATAGTCCTTGTAAAAAGCTTTGGCCTCTTAAAGTAAACGATGTGTCTACTTGAGAAATGATGGCAATTAAGAACATACCATACGAGTCCAATACGCTACTGTCATACAGGCATCGTACGTTTCCCCTATATCCCACGTACGTAGCTAGATTATAACAGGTTGGCTGACACCTACAGCCGCAGTGACAGTATTGTCAAGCCAATGGTAGTGATGCAATGCAGAATGGTCGAGGTCTTCCGTTCTTTCGCCTACGGCTTTTGTTGTTTATTAATGCTATGAAGGTTATTATTGATAACATCGTTAATATTCTCACGGGCAGCATTATTTATTGGTTGTAGTTTTGATTTGCATGTAAATGTAGAACCCGTAGCGTACTGTTATATCCATAAATAGCAATTCAATTGCTCCATCAGCTTCTGGAAAGGCTTCCCTTCAGCTCATTACCAGCATTATACTGAGTACGAGGCGCTTTTTTTTTTAATGTTCCGTATGTTAACCAGCTCAGGGATCAGCCGATAGGGAGGTCAACTTAAATCCTTTTGAGAATAACTAAAGAAATGGGCAGCGCCATTAGCATAAACTGGGTCGGACGGTGAACTGAACCATATCGAATCGTATTTTCTTCTTTCGCTGTTATGATTCTTCACTATCGTTAACCTTCTATACGCTCCGAGCATTTACTCCTTGATGCCAACCGAGATGCAAACAATTCAATAAGCTCTCTTCAGTTTTATTGCTTTCTTCACCAAAAAGATGTCACGCTTTATCACAGTTTATTGAAGAGGCAATGGTTTCCATTTAAACGGACCGTACCAGTTTTTGGGAGACATTCCGGGCCAGTTTGTGCTGCCCACTAAGAATCCTCGACGACTATACATCACCTATTTACGGAATTAGCATCACAACTCCGCAACTCCATCCGCTGATCGGCAACCAAACACAGCGAGCGAATGTATCCACACGAAGACAATGCTATCACGGGGGCACCATCTCTCTGTGTGGGCCGATTGTCCGCACAGGCACCTTAGCAACAACAACAACAACAATAATAGATTGGCCCCCGGAGATAGACAAGTAACGAACTGCGAACGGACCTTAGGGCGGACAGGCGGTCGGTCGTACGTATAACAACAACGACCAGTCACTGTAAAACCGCTGTGATGTGATGTGATGTCCATTGTAGTTGTCGGCGTCACAACGCAGTGCCAGCAATAAAAATACCTACAATAGTAAAAACAAGAGCAACAGCACCACCGACATTACAGCCCACCTGGCGTTATTATTTAGGCAATGCCCATATCTGTCGCCCTCCGAGTGTCAGACTACACACAGAAATTCCATGGAAACGACTTTATCGTCGTCTCACGCACGTGAGATGTCGTCATTCTGCACGGACCGCTTTTTATACGGGGCAGCTGCTATGTTTGCTGTAAAAGTTTAAAGTACTAGAAAAAACAGTGTTTTAATTAGAATAGCAATGTGAAACGATACGTAAGCTCGCAATTTTCGCCATTCGTTAATCATTTCGACGAGACATACTTATTAATACATCTTTCATTTGGATATAACCGGTGCTGATCTAGGTATCCATAGGAAAAGATCATTGCAGATCGAATATCTATTTAATATGTTCGCATTTTGGTCCGGTTTTCAAAATGACTAAATATATGATATCTTATCCGATATCTCTGAAATCCTTATTTTCGTTCTTTGTGCTTTGAGGCTCGCGAATACGTACTCGGAGTCTTTCTTCTGACTTTCAGGAATGGTAGCTTCGTATTGTGGAACGTAGAACTGCGGAGGTCGTTTTCCACCGACAATAGATAGCCGCTCTTCCTTGGTGCTCTGGTATTGACGCTCACCAACAGGTCCGCTTAGATCTTCCGCTTTCACGTACAGGACATACTCTTTATCAAGCATGAACGGCGCTGTTCCAACGGTGATGATTTCGCCGGAGAGCGCGTCAACTTCGAAACGCTGACCGCCTGTAAGGTTAATTGAACACAATGCATAAGCAATGAGGCACAGCATAACGTTTTCTCTCTGCCCAGACTGACCATGTCCTTTTATTTTGTTTATTTATCATGTTCCAATTGGTTTACCTAAAGCCCTTTAGCTCACATCTGTCAACTAATAAACAGAACTAGTGAAAATGAAGTTCCAACCCGTACGAGGTGTGATAACAGCAGTGTTTCATAGTTCTATTGTATTCGTCGCAGCGATCAATCGCATGATCGATAAGGTAATGCATATCTCGGTTATTACGGTAATAGCACTGAACACCATTATGGCTGTTTGTCTGGTGCGGCTAATGGGCTATTGTAATTGTAGGGAACTGGTGGCTTTTTCGAGCGTCCACAACACTGAAGTTTTTTCTTGTAAAGCACACAAGAAGTTACTTCAAAGCACAGGGTGGCTTCAAACGCACTACTCAGGACTACACGAACAAGTTGGACAGCCACATCGCGACCGCCTCTCTCTTATTCCGGCAACAGCAGCAGATTCTATTTGCAAACTATCCAATAGAAACTAGTTGTTGTTTTGGTGAACATTAGCGTCCAGGACCGCTGAATCTGCACCATCTATTAACACTGCCTTTCAAGGAGGCCATATTCGATTCGCACAAAGATAAAACATTAGCATTAGAGCTAACTTCAATTATCGCCGCAGTCGTCCCGTAGAATGAAGGTCTATTTTTCACTCAAGCGCACAACCCGTCCACTACAGGGACCTTCCGCTGGCAAACAAGCAGATCAATACAATCGGCAATAAGCGAAAGTGCGCATGTAAGTATATACGTCTAGGCACACGTCAACAACAATCAGGACAATACACACGACATAAAAGACCGAACAAAGGAAACGCGTTTTGGATGGCCGTCTTATCGCAGGACAAACCGGAATACGCCGATCGACGTTAAACAGTAACGCATTACTGTGCAGTGATACGGAAGATAAACTAAAGAAGTGGCAAAAAATATATTCGATCATCTAACATACTGCCGTCACGAAATTCCGAGCATTCAAACGGCACAGCATTGGGATAACATGTGCATTACAGTCACAAACGTATATGGCGTGCAAAGAATAGAAGCGTCGGTAGTCAAAATGCGTACAAAAATCATAAATGCCAGAGGGCTATAGCAATAATGGATAAACAATCTGAGAGGTAAGCAGATCCGGAAAGGTAACACATAATCGCATGAACCGCCATGGTGATATCACATTTTCAATTAAATAAGCAAGGTAAAGTCTTTATATTTATTACAAACAAACGCATGCATATAGCTGCTTTACTGCGACACTATCTAAACAGCTTATGTATTTCTTTTTATTTATTTGTATGTATTTTATTTGAGTGTGTTGATATATGAAAATCTCAGAAAAATCTGTTCAGAAGCGACCGCAAATAAGAAGTGCCGTTTTCGAGCAGAACTTCTATAGGATTCTAGGGACACAATGTCGTCAATGCGATTCAAAGTTTTTTTCGACTTGAACTTTAGAGTCGAATGATGCAGTCGCTGAAAAGGCACGTCCAAACGAAGTTGAGCTCTTTAATTGTGTTGAAAACAATGAAAATATAGCAGGACTGAAAGACCAGTAAGAAGAATGAAAATAATGCAACAGACGACTCGCTGTAATGCAACATCTTCAGTAGAGATCAAATCCATGCCAAAGAAGTGCCCATAAAAACGTCATACTTCACCTCCTTGCAATATTTATACACCAGTGAACGTTAAACGAGGTACCCAAATAATAGCAATTTCCCAACCCCATCATAAACTTTAATTTCGAATATAATACTCGATAAACAAACAAAGACATTTCACCTCATTTGGCTACGGAACTTGTACGTAATATCAGTCGAGTTTACGATCATAATATTTATGATTATCGGAACTAATTTTATTGTTCTTTAACAGCCCAAATGAAAATACGCTCCATTTGATAATGTCTTGTACAGGAAGCTACTTATATAAAATCATACATTTCTACACCTGCTCTTCTTGGGAGTGCGCTTCATCCGCACTGAGAAAATATTCAACAGATGATACACTTACTTTAAATGTAGGCGGATGGAAGAAATGCCAAAATCACCAAGACCTAACTACAGTTCCCTTACGGCTGCACGAAACTCGTACAGTAGAAAAACACAGCTTAAGGAGACCCTGGCGTCGTTCGAACTACTACTTCTGCTATAGCTGCTCCATACATAGTAGCAATCAGCTTGCGATCTGCGTGGTCTACGGAAGGCTAGCTGCTCGCAGCTTTGCCTGATCTCGTTTTCCTTCGCCCCCGTACCCAAAGACCTTTAACGGGACCGGTTGAGACATAACATCCTAAGAAGTCGGTGACAGCAGCGACACCATGTCTACCGCCTTTTGCCGGTTTTTGCGTCACGACTAAGGAAGGTAGCAAAAGATTGAAGGGACAGCGAAACAAACGAACAAGCGACAAGATCTTGTCACACAGTTGTTATAGATCAACTGTGACAACGGTCGAATGGTCAGACAGACGTATGTGACAGCCAGGCGCTCGGGCGATCACCTTCTCAACAGCAGACGAAAGACGAATGCGAAGATCGACGAAGAGGAAACTATAGAGCGAAATAGGATCCAAAATGAAACTTTGTTGTGGTTGTTGTTGTTCTTGTCGTCGTCGTCGTCGTCGTCGCTGTCGTTGTCGTTGGATAAGAGATACTGAAATACACTACCGATGCACAAATGTCAATGCACAATACTTCTTTCTCTGCTACCATTGCTAAGCATAGTAGCAGCTGACTTTCGTAACGCAACCTGTCGTGCATAGATATTGTACAAATCGACCCGACTGATTGTTCGATTTTAGGATGCCCGGGATATATCACGAGAAAGCCGACGTGTGAAAGCCAACATAGATACGTGCCCAATTAGCCCAGAAGACGCAAATCGGAAACAGATGTACCCATATCCTGAACATCTTTGCCGACGTTTCCTTGCATATAATACCCTCACTATGTGGCAGATGCTAGGTTAAAGACAACAAAAAATAAACAAGTACGAAGAAAGATTAATGGAGATAGCTATTTCGAAAAAGCCGATATCAAAGGGACAAAAGTACAAAAAGCAGTAACGTTAGGGTCGCGGGTTGCAGGCTAGTTATAGTACTTCAGTCTCTAATTCAAGGTTGGCTAGATATAACAACCAAGCAAAATAAAAATATTCTCATAATTAATAGCATGATGGCTGTTGCCAAAGCCGTCCGCCCAAGTCAAAGAGTCCGCTTGGATTACAGTAGACAGCGCAGAATACCATTAACGGAAAGGTGCACATAGTAATGCCATTACAATATACATAGTATATTACCATTGTAAAATACTAGAGTGGCAAGGAAGCGCGAAAATGAAGCTGACCCCGGCTATCTCATACCCGCAAGCTGTCAACGGAACGCATAATAAGAGACAGGAGATGTGACAATACTAGTTAGCGCCTTTGCTTTCATGTTCAAGCCACGAAAAGATGCTTTTACTACGAAAGTGAATTTTCCTCGCTCATTCTTACCCGGACTATCTATGCAGACTCGTAACGTCAGCAGGTCAGCCAGGTTACCACACATATAGGTCCTTCGCAAGCCACGTTTCCGAAAATAAAACCATACTCACCACTCTGTCAGAGTGGCCACCTCTGGCACATCTCCCTTCGCGCGGTCCAATTATTCCTCTGCTTTATCGTTTCCCGGTTACCGACCAATACTCCAAAACGTGCATTACTCATACCATCTAGTTGACTAATTCGAGTCCAGGCATAGCATGGTACGACCCCGTTTATTTCGATCCTTACAGCGCATTACCTACATGGCTATCGCCTAGAGAACCTTTAGATTCGCATGTGCCAATATAGAAAAGGTTCGAAAAAATAAAACCTTTTTGAAATTCGATAACATTATTATCGATTTTCGAATATGACAGTGCAGTGATGGAGGAAGCAACTGTAGCTGGCTCATAACAAGCAAACAACAGAGCCGGATACTATTTGGCACCTAAGCCGTCGTTTATACAGGTCCGTTCAGTATGATTACGCAATGATTCATACTGGATTGTTGTTAATTTTTAATCTACAACAGAGAAGTGAACAGGTCCAATATAGTCAATTTCGTGCAAATATAATAGCAGTAGCTAACAATTAGAATGTATATACGGTTTTCATCTAAACGACATCAGACGTAATACATGGTACACCCGATCAGCGTACTTGCTACGCGCTGGAATTGCAAATGACCTTGTTCGAACTCATAGAAACTACAACAACAGCAACGACGACGACGACTAAATTTTAAAAAAGAAGTCCTTAGGACCGATGAAACAAAAAAATGCGACAAATGTGTTGGTCTAGTTTCCTTATGGATAAAAAGGTTGCTAGCGATAGAGGGGCCTACTGTAACAAAAACGAAAACCCCTGTTTGAACCAAAAATTCAAGCGAGCAAACTGGCAGATGGATGAGCTACAATAAATGCAGTCTGTACATTGTCATAACCGAAGGCCTAGAATGCACGAACCTCCTCATAGTAGTAGGAAAGTACGTCTTCGGCGTACGAAGTCATTAACTACAAAAAAGCGCCTCATTTAAGCAAGGTCATATAATGTACTGGGCTCAATAATTTTTATTAGCAGTAAAAAGCTAACTGTTACATTTGAGAAACTTACCACAGCCTTAACAAGATATACATGAACTCCCGTTACCGCGAATTTTTCTCTGTGTCCATCTAAGAACAAATCAATGTTACGATAGTATTCAATATGTTGCCATGTTTTTTTTTTTTTCGTACAAGACGCTTTACTGCGATGCTTGCACAGTACATGCTTAGGGTCGGCTTAGGATTTACTCATTTTGGAAAGGTCATAGACAAATATTTACAGAGCAATACTAACGACTGTGAACGGATTCTTACTTCGATCGCGTACGATGCTGTATCGGATGTTGTGATCGGAGTCCGGGTCGCGGGCCTGAAGTTTGAACACTGGGGTTCCAGGTGGGGCATTTAGCTGAACAACTGCCTGCATTGGTAGTGGCCGATTGATGAAATATGGCGGTTCATCATTTACGTCGGTGATATGAATAATAATACGTTGACGCTCCTTTTCGGCACGGCCGGGAATTCGCACGAGAACCCAAAAATCGATGGTTTTTTCCTTGTCTAACTGTTCATAATCCCATTTTTCCTTGACTTTTACCTCGCCATTTGCCAGAATCGTTACCCATCTGGAATGAAACGTGCAAAACAATATAACATTTAGTATAAAAGAGCTACCCAGTTGCATCGACGGGCGTCTGCTATTCGGGGATTCTGTATTATATAGCTATAGCCCACTTTGTTTTTAAAATTCGACAGTTGTCATTGTTGTTGTTGTTGTAGCGCGTTCGGAGAGACTTTTTGGATATTGTTATATTATGAACATTTCTTTCCGAGGTAATCCGGCCGAATTAGAACCTGATTCAACTGATCGAACAATATGGGAAAATAGTTAAAAGCAGATAGCTAATACGAGCTCGCCTAGGACTTGATGATGCCTGCCAGAGGAAAGGTAAACAGACGGTTTGTAACGAGCCGCCTAAAAATCGACCTGTTTGCACATATAATTCAATATTGCTTTATTGTACGCACGTTTTGCCTGCCGGACATTGTCATAACTAAATCGTTTATCGAAATATATACGGATGAAATTAGCCAGAGTTCGTAGAATAACCAATTAAAAAATGTGTAGAGAAATTCAATTTTCTATAAAAAAAAAAAATAAAAAAAAAAAAAAAACAATAAAAATTACTTCCTGGTAGACAAACAAAACTTCAGGTAGACAAACAGCCTAACCTTGATTTACTAAAATCGATAGACTTTGAAAATTTTTCGTAACTGAATGACATTTGAATGAGGTGCCGTCCCCGTTGCCTTCAAATCTAGTTCGGAGTGTAATAAATTCGCGACCCTTTCTACGAAATCAATGAACATATATAGAATATATATAAAAAACGATACCCTTAAGAAAAAACAAAAAAATATCACTTTTCGTTTATATACAAAAGCCACTTCCGCTTTATTCACCAACCCTCAAGTCGATACTTTTCGCTGCGCTGCTTGGCTGCGTGCAAGTTTGAGTATCAGACCTTTAACTCTCGCCTTCGTTTGAATTACTGCAGTGGCAGTCCTTACTTATATGTTAAGCACCCCGTACGTATCGCTATCATCACTGAACGCTTACCTATACGTTTAAAGTGTCCACGATCGATCCGTTTTCAATCCAATTGGATATGACGAACAAACATTCTCGCATATCATAACGCCAATCTATCATTCACTCATAGGCACAGATTGAGTAGAATCACAGTCCCTCTGTTCTATTCTATTATCTGTTTGAATAACAATCAAGGACATTACCATTGGTTAGCTGCTATCGTGTCGAAGTAACTTATTTCCTGTAGTAATAAAAACAATCGCAAACTGACTCATTTTTTCTCCTTTTCAAGCTTCACTAAACGATTGAATACGATAGCAGCGACTACAGATCTTGCCATTAATTTTTTGCCATGGACTTTCCAATAACGCCAGCGCACGCATTTGAATAACAAGCACAACTCTTGCTGCATAATGGAAAATCGTTATCTACTACCGCAAACATCAGCACCAACACAAGAAAACATAATAAATACGAACCGCTTTCATGGGGCACCACCAATAGAAATAGCATCTCGTTTGTGTGGTGATTTCAAAAAAGTCCATTTTTTTTTTATCCTATCGATTTACGTCTGACAATAATAATAATATAGTAACACTTATCGGCTTAACACATTCAGTGAAGATAATATCTATTCATTAGTATTCTTCATCATCGCCATAATCAACGCCCATCTCTTTGGCCATCATTTGGGATGCGCTTAGCAGATCTGGCTGCTGGATTTCATCGTCCTCCGATTCAATATCATCCAAGTCATAATCTTCCTGAGGTTCCGGGTCATGCTTCACCTTCATATCTTGCTTGATGTCAGTAACAAGCGAGTGGATCTCTTTGAGATCCTGCTTAAGCTCGCGCTTACTCTCTTCTTTCTTCAATGTCGGCCCGCGCATCCGCTTACTCGTTATAGGGGCAGCCGTACTGTCAAAATCACTTGTGAGTTTCGCTAAAATATCATAATTAATTTTCCCCGAGGCTTTTGCCTCAATGATATCGTGCAGCTGCTTCGTGGGGTCATTCCGCCGTTTCCGGGGTGCGGGTTTTTTTCGGCCTTGTTTTATCCTCTGGGCCTCTTCTTCTTTCTTCTTTTGCTCTTTCTCGCGGGCTTTTTTGAGAAATTGCAGGTTCTCCTGGACCCATTTTTTTGTTTTTCGCACAATTTCTTCAGGTTTCAACAAATAGCCATTGATTTCTTCGTCATCAACGTCGGAGAAGCTGTCATCATCACGATGTTCAGGCACTACATAATCCTCGAGTCGTTGCACGGGATCTCCAGTTGAGGACAACCCACCCTCGGCAAGGGCACCTTCTCGAGTTGGCATTTCCTCTCCGCACGAATCAATAATAGTTTCGACTGCAGATGCAGAGATCTGCTCGGTGAGTATGTCCATCTCTTCTTCCGTAAGCTCAAAGCGCCGCCGAACTTCGTCGTCTTTCGCGGAATTCGCGAAACGCATCGCCACCTCCATTTGCCGGCACTCAATTAGTTCCTCCATTTTTTCTTGGAACCGTCGCGTTTCTTCCAGCAGATCTTCGTCAATGGACTGTTCCTCCATACGTTTATGTGTCTTACTAACCGGCGGCAAGAGCTCCTCGGGAATGTCATTGTCATCCGCCTTAAGAAATGCACCCATCTCCATTTTGCCCGCACTTGTGTCAGCGAACTCTTTTAGGCGAAGCCTAAGAGTCGACGTCGACATGCAAACCATGTCGGCAAACTCTTCAAATGTTCGATTGAATCCGTGGTAGCGACAGGCCGCAAGCAATGCGGCTCCGCAGAGACCTGCAGGCCGACGGCCGTAGTGCATCCAGTCCCTGTTCATTCGTTGACAGATGCGAACAGCGGTGTTTATCACCCTATGCAGTACCTCGCCCAGCTCAAGCTGCTGTGCGAATCGCATAATCAACGTTGATGGATCCTGGATTGGAATTGTGATTTGTAGTTCGCGAACAAACTTATTGTACACTTGACCAAGATCCCATACATTTACTTGCGCAGCATCCGAGATGTCGAGTAGCATCACCGGCATATTTCGTATTCGTGCAACGATGTATATGCAAGTACTCAAGCTTTTGATCCATTGTATGCCTCTGGTTAGCCCACGGTCAAGGGCCATGCTGTAGAAATTTGTCGCATGGGTCACCGCATCATCCGTAAAATTGACGGCTGACGAGATACGGTGGACTTCGTCACGGGCGCGTACCAGCCGCCACCTTCGACGCTCGTCCCTTCCAGACACACCATTGATTCCGCCCACCTGGCTGATTCCGCCAGGTCCGACAATTGAGCCCAGAGCACGAACTCCACCACCGGAAGTCTCTTCAAATTGGACCTCGGAAACAATAAAGCTATTCTCAACAACTGCTCCACAGTCTCGACATACTGCGTGACCCTGTTGACGATCTTCGATTATTGCAGATGATCCACACTCTGTGCACCTGCTAGAATCGCACATTTTCGTTTTTGGTGCCTTCACGCTCCTATTTCACGAGCGCATTTTCCGTGGCACCTTTCGTCTTCAAAGCATCGAGCTCTGTTTTTTGCTTTTGCTATCGCTGCAACTTCCATATAGGGCTAACGCAACCGATGTCCAACTAAATTGTCATTGTACGAAGAGCATGACTTCCTATTGCATACCGAATATATCGCTACTATTTCGCCACGCCAAATCGTGCCGTCATTTTACCAACACATCTAGCTTTAGTTTATACTACAGCACGACTGTTGCCGGCTGGCGGTACCGGTGGCGGTGCACTCTACTAGCAACAGATACAATTAGAACTGATTCCGGTGCCACGAGGAGCTCCGTTCACAACAGTTTGAGCTAGCGGTACTCCCAGGCGCAAGAGTTGCGTAGAAGCGGCAGCCCTTTCTTCACACATTAACAGAACCATACGGTTCAAGCAAAGCAGTTGGATATATCGGCTGCTACAAATTCTATTGCTATCGCTACTGCTGGCGCTGCTACCAATACTACCCTAATGGTCGCCGATCTGCGATGCCTGTGTTTTGGTGGCTGCGGCATAGAGCACTTTGTAAACATAGCCGCAAGCAGACGACAGCGACGAGAGAAAACAGTCACATCATTGAGAAAGCGGCTGACGGCAAAACATACCAGGCTCAGAATTATTATATTGCTACGAGTAATCCGTTCAATGGGAGGAACAGATGGAAGCAAAACTATACCAGCGACATAGATAATGATGGTGATGACGATGATGAAAAGGACATTCGGCGTTAAAACGCAACTACGAAAAAGGTGAGTGTCGTTTTCGACGAAATAGACAGCAGAAAGCGGTTATTCCATCAAAATGGAGCAACGGCCTCGAACATATTTAGGTCTGCCTATCGTAGCGATAGTAGAGCAGTATTCAGACTGCGACATCTTTAATACCTAACTAATATAAAGCAGAACAATGAAACGGGAGGGGCGTAATTGGTAAGAATGAACAAAGAACTATTCAACCCAATGGGAAGTCCTATGTAGGTTGTTTTGAGACGAGCGTCTAAAGAAGTGATCCATCTAAGTGACTATTTGTCAAGACAAACAAATATTTCATTGCTGATAGCTATGTAAAAATTGAAATTAACTATGGTAACAAAGTGCTACATAAAAAAGAAGAGCATGCTCTAATCGCGAAAGACGAAAAAGGCCATTTGTAACGGATGTCCTGATGTGGCCTGAGAAAGAGCAACAGACATTCTAGTAGGACGACATATTAGTTCAAGGATATGGAGTCTTAATAAATGAAAAAATACGGCAACGTTTATATATAATCTAGTCGATTACTTAACGCATCTGTATGTACATGTATAAATAGTGAGTGCGTATCAAATATTGCAAATAAAGATACACAATAGCTTTTGTTGGGACATCCCAACAACAGGTCCCGATCGAGCCAGACGAATCGACCAGAATTTCTTACAATTGTTACATTTCAATTTAGTAAACAAAATCACCAATACTGTAACCATTAATTATATTACTGGCGAATAATATTATTTAAAAAAAAATTTACATAAATGACTGAAATGCGTAAGTATCCTGCACCGTTCTACATTTGTTCTTTTAAAAAAAAAATGTACTTCGTTTTTTTACAGAAGGCAATTGTTTGTTCAGAAAACACGTAGATAAGTATTTTTGCTACCTTTTTCCATTTAGATGCAATGGAAATGTTGGTTAAACTTTTCACAACCCTAGTAAGGCCCGGTGATCGGATTACGCGCTGTACAGGCATCAAAGCTACGAGCAAATTCAAGGCATAAAAATGCACAATAGCCACAGATCTATTCTCCGTCAGATGAGCGGTTGGCACATCTATTTTTAATCGGCATTTATTATCAGAGAGTACCACTGGTTTATGGTCACCGTTCTGGATCAATTGCATTAAGGCGTTTAACGGAACTCTTGTGTGAAATGGCAGGATTTCATTGGCTTAATGTCGTATATGTTGAAGTATATGTCGTATTTAAGAGGTAAAAAAGCAACTGAATATCAATATATGGTGGGCTGTGGAAAGCAGACAGCTGCTGTCAAACTGCATTGCACTGAATACTGAACAACGCCAAACATCCAATGTTAGTACAGACAAAAAAGCTAAATTCACCTTGTAGGTAAGAAAAAATCCATCATTTTTTGTCATAAACCTGTTTATTTCATGCAGTTACGTAATCCGACATACGAAGATATTTTTGCTTGCAGTAACCTCTCGTTGCAGATCCCAGCATTAGTTGGTAATGCCTGGTCGCTTGCTAGGCACAACATCTTGTAAATTAAGAAGATTTTTATAGATGTTTGGGCTTTTTGACTAGATATTGCAATAAGTTTGGCTGGAACCAACAAAATACACAACGACAACTATATCACAGACACTAACCAGTTCGTCGACTGTATAATGTTACCTGGATTCCTTTTTTTGGCCTGCTTTAATTGATAGTGGACTCGTTAAGGGAAAATTGAAACAAACAAGAAAAGCTGAATCACAAGGATACGTTGAATAGTCGTAATGGGTGATTTAAAAAATATGGTTTAGGGGAGTAGACGAAAGGAGGTGAAATTAAAGGCCTTGAAAAGCTAGCAGAAAATGTAAAGTTTATAAACCCACGAATCGTTAACTTTAATTTCTACAAGTGATCAAACCATGGCAACAATTGTCAAAGAAGTGGCCGTTGACTTTTGGTAATCCAAAACAAAGCTCTGGCACGTAGTTGTTGACATCTATTGCGGAACCTTTGATTTATAAGACTGTCTTCTGTAAAGATTTTGTAAGTGAGTCAAATTGAACTATACTTCACTGGGAACCTCCATGTGTTTTGAGTACAAATCAACTCGTCCGTCATACTCGACTCGACTCTCGTCTCAGATTCTGTGACATACAAAGAGTCATGACACCTAGCAAGCTGACAAACAAAACCGCCATTGTCGCTTACGGTGTCGTTAGTCGTTATGAGCAATGGTCTATGGGAGTGGTTTAATTAACAAGGAACCATACATGAAAACTGCTCGAAAATGAGCTAGTCTACACAAGGGACCTATGGACCTTTTGCCTTTGAGTAATTACTTTTATATTTAACCCTATTTGCAGTTAGGCCATGATTGGCAGACTTTTGCGGATGACAATTAGCAAAGCAGAAATCACAGTCAAATAATGTATAATAGCATCTGTAACATATTGAAAATATATATTTCGGTTTTTTGAACTAAGATTATTACCATAAATGGGTGGCTGCATATCAAACGGTGAATATCTGAAAATTCGCATTAACATTTTACAAAGAAACCTAGCCGTATTTGCTTGTGTTTACATGTAATTTTTGAACGAAGTCCGTGATTTACAATAACACAGGACGGTTTATGCCGCAGTGTTGGCTGTGTCATGGCTGTATCCTGTTATCTTTGGCTTGACTTTTCACAACACTAATACTATTTGTGCTTACATAAAGTCTTTTGTTTGTAAATAATTATGTACAATGCTTTTCACTGTTATAAGTAAAGTTAATTAGCCAACTCTTAGTGGCCAGATAAGATTTAAGCTAAATACTGTTCAACAAAGGTGTGCGGAAGTTTTATTTTGACGACAACAAGTGTCCGTTCAACCAGCTGATCATATCCCACTAAGCTCCCTGTGAAATGAGAGGATGTACCCCTATGACAGTAGGAAAAAGCGTTCTTCAGGGGGAAAGCCTGTTCTGCGACGAAGTCGTTACTGGCATTAGGGGTCATTAAGCATCGATTCGCGAAATGAAGACCTTATTTCTACACAAGACAATGATGTACAAAAATTCATTCATTCGACTGCTATTGCAGTACTTCATGATTATCTATCGTCCACGCTAACAGTCCGATAGTAACTGCTGAAAAGAATCCCAAACAATAATGATTGCTATGCATGATATATAGCGACGCCAACGGCGACAGCTCAAAGACATTCACAGCGCAGGGTCAGAAGATGAAGGAATCATAGCAAAATTCGCAGAGACCAACAATCACGGTAACAGCCTCAGCCAGAAGTCACATTTTACACAGTTGAGTATTCTTGAAGGAATTATTTCCGTAGGAGATTTTGTACTTGGAAACATCCTGCAACAACAACGAAATCTTTTACGAAACTTCGACCAAGAGTGTTAACAGACGGAAAACTGTGTCATTTGGTGTTTGCCCCGCACGTGCAACTGGCCTAATGCCCCTCTGTATTTGCTGTGCACCCGTTTGTCCGGTCGCTATTTGTTAGCATGAGTAGCCATAGTATGAGTGAGTGCCTCAACATCTTTCCGGTACGGTAACACTAACGGCCGCATGAAACAAGCAGTAACGAAGAAACAAAGATAGCAAGGCCATGGATTACTTGGGTCTGTTTGTTGTCGTAGCAACTAATCGCCGACAGTCGCTTCTATTCAGTGTAGAAACTACAGTTGTTGTTGCTGCTGCTACTCATACGGCAATAAGGTAAGCAATAGCAGTAAGAATTTCTATAAAAACACGGGCAGTAGCCGCGACCATCGACATGAAGGTACGGCCGAAATAGTTGAACGCGTCAAGTAACCGATGGGCCCAAACGGCTTGGCTCAACACAACAAGAGCGCTGAATTAGCTGGCCAACCGTCATTGCTGCTTCCTCATGTGAAGAACAATGCTATTAAAGACAACGTTTGCTCCCACTTATGTGTCCATCTAACGAAGTTGACTTTTGCTGGTCAACCTCATCAAACAATCAGCGCTGTAGTGTCTATATAGTCCTTGCTATGCTTCCTGCAAACAGCTTCGGCGATAATAGTTAAAAAGAGGACAACGTAAGAATTAAGCGCAAACGCATAGTGACAACGAGTGGGGAACAGCGGTCAGTAACAAGTACCTTCTTGATTTTAGTAAACTGGGTGCCACTGGTGAAGTGCCATCGTTTACCTGGTATGACTGAGTCGTGTAACGCCAGTAATTCTGTTACTGCTACCCTGTCTGGTCAGCGCCATGCGGGTGCCAACGCAAATTACAATGGCAATATGAAAGGGTAGTACGTATAGTATTTCCCATAGCAGCAGCTTATCGAGCTAGTCAATTGGCGACGCTGTAGCTCGTTGTTCGTCGGTCAATCACATACAAGGCCCTATCCTAGAAACGTTAAAATTGACTTTAGATGCAGCGTCGCGGAAGCCATTGCGATGTCTGCACGTTCCAAGGGATCACTATTCCGGTGAAGGGCCGCTCTGCTAAGCTTCATTATCAAGAACAAGCAGCAGCAGTCAACAAAGCCGAGGCAGGTGGAGGCAAACTAAAAGTTAACAGTGGTAACAAGACTGAGACGTCGGTGTTCAAAGCCGATCCTGTCATCCCTTGCGGGTGACGCTGGGCTAGCAGCTTAACAACATGTCATATTTTTATATCGACATCTGAATGGACGCACGTACTTTCGTAGTC